GTGATGGCGGTGGCGGCGACTCTGATGGCGGCGGCGGGGGGGTCCCGGGAGCAGCCTCCATAGTTCCTTTGGGGGGAGGGGATGTTAATGCACGAAAAAGGACTGCTTGGGCGTGGCGGGAGGGGCACACTTCAGCTCTGAGGGCTCCTGATGGGAATCGGTTATATATTTTTTCGGTTTCGGAATCACCTCTGTTCCGACCTCCGCGTAGGCCGCGCGGCCTAGGCCTCGGCGGCCTGCTCGCCGCCTGCTTTCTCCGTAGCCTGCCCCTGCGGTCACTCGCTCACGGTCGCAGGACCCTCATCGGGGCGAGAACCAACCCTCCACACACACACACCCGCCCGGGAGCGAGAGACCCGGGGGACACGGACACTGGTGTGTGGTTGGGTGTAATTAGCGCGGGCCGCGCGCAATGGAGCAAGCGAGGGGGAAGGGGAGAAAAGGAGAGCGAGCGAGAGTTTAAAAAAAAAAAGATTCTAGGGAGAGAGGGAACGGGCCGCGAGACGGAACGACTGTCTGTCTGTCTGCTCGCCCTAGATGCCCCAGCTGCCAGGCCCCCGCCGCAGTCAAGAATTCACACAAAATGGCGGCTCGGTCCCAATGAGCCGAGAGGCTGAAGCGGGAGGAAGGGTGAGGTGGGAGGGGGAACGCGGAGGCCGAGGCCCCGTCACGTGGAGGATTGCAAAGTCCGCTTGCCCGAAGGCCGGCGAAAAGAGCCGAACGGAGAGGGCGAGGCCGAGGGAAGGCGGAAAAAGCCGAGAGAAACAGCGGGAAACGAGAGGAGGCTGGGACGAGCCGGAAACAGCCGAAAGTGGCCTGGGCCCCGGAGGAGCGTGAAGCCGAAGGGAGTTGGGAAGAGCCTAAGGTGACGATGGGGGTGGGACTAGAGGAAGAATGAGAACGTACTGGGGAAGGAGGAGGAACTGAAGTGAGCCGGAACAGCCGAAGGCGGTGTTGGCGGGGGAGGAGGCGGAAATAGCCGAAAGAGACCGGGTCGGGGTAATGGGATTAAGAAAGAATGAGCTGGTCGGGCGGGGCCGGAGAGGCGATTAACTAACTAAGGAAACGACTTAGAGTTCGCCCCAGAGCAAGCGGGAAGAACCGGAAACTGCTAGCTTTAAGGAAGGCAGGAAGAGTTGAAAGTTTTAAGTGGGAGAATGGGAGCGAAGGAATTCGGGCTACGGAGAAGAAAAAAGAATAACCGGATGCTGGAGCCCGGGTGACAGGAGTCGGAGGCTTCCGGAGAAGAGATGGAGTCGAGCCGGCCCGGAGATGACTTCACTAGATAACTCTCTGGATGACGTCGCTCACGGGCGGGCGGAGCGAGAGGGGCAGGGTTTGGTAGGGCCTCCAGGGAAGTTGAGAACTTGGGGTGTAGTCCGTGGAATGTTCTGAAGTACTCGATGTGGAAGCACTGGCCGGGCTCATAAACCACGTGCAGACAAAACCTGTTGACCCTCATAACTGTCCCAAAGGGAACTGCTATTGCTCCCATTTGATAGATGCACACTAGGGCTAGATGCTTAAGTAATGTTGGCTCAAGGTCATAGGATTAGCCCTACCGGTCGTAGAAAGGTTTTACGTCAGAGCTGGCATTCCATTGCCTCCTGCAAAACTGTTCAGTTTTATTCAGTACGGGAATATTCGTTAAACGGTTTTACTCCTCTTTCTACAGGGTCAGTCCCCCGTGAAGAATGGTGAGAACAGTTTCTGTCTTCATGGAACCTAATAACCGACAATGCCCTGAGTGAGAAAATGGGAGTTAAAGAATAAAGGGGTGGGGAAGAGAGGGTGGCTGGTTAGCTCAGTTGGTTCGAGTACGGTCTTGTAACAAAGGTCAAGGGTTCGGATCCTCATACAGGCCAGCCGCCAAAAAAACCCACAAAAGGGGCCGGCCTGTGGCTCACTCGGGAGAGTGTGGTGCTGCTAACACCAAGGCCCTGGGTTCGGATCCCATAGAGGGATGGCCGGTTCGCTCACTGGGTGAGCGTGGTGCTGACAACACCAAATCAAGGGTTAAGATCCCCTTACTGCTCCCCTTTAAAAAAAAAAAAAAAGGGGGCCGGCCCGGGGGCGCACTGCTACAGTCCACTTGGGAAGCCTGGCGGCTCTCCCGCCGAGGGTTCGGATCCCACATACAGCCCAGCCGCTCACTGGCTGAGCGAGGAGCGGGGGCAACGCCGAGGGTTGCGATCCCGTTGCCGGTCCCGGTCCGGGCGCGACACTGAGGGTTGCGATCCGTTGCCGGACACGGAAAAAAAAAAAAAACCCCCAAAAAAAAAAGGGGGCCGGCCCGGGGGCGCACTGCTACAGTCCACTTGGGAAGCCTGGCGGCTCTCCCGCCGAGGGTTCGGATCCCACATACAGCCCAGCCGCTCACTGGCTGAGCGAGGAGCGGGGGCAACGCCGAGGGTTGCGATCCCGTTGCCGGTCCCGGTCCGGGCGCGACACTGAGGGTTGCGATCCGTTGCCGGACACGGAAAAAAAAAAAAAACCCCACAAAAAAAAAGGTGGGGAGAATGTGTGGGGGAAGAATGAAGATTGTTGTTCAGTCTGGGACATGAGGAAATAGCTTACTTCAGGCCCTTATTTTCCAGGAACAGAGAGAAAACCTGTGTGGAAAGAGTAGTAAGTTTGGAGACAGAGGTGCCAGGTGACTCCTGGTATATTGATCTTACTATAAAAGAAAATAATGTCCCAAACCTGATCTGAGACACAAGCTTTTGGGGGCTGTACTTTACAACCTCCTTCAGGGAAGAAATTAGCATTCTTGATAAAATATTTAAATTCTGATGGGATGAAACTTGTTTGGTGACACTTGTTTTAGTGGCCTGCCCACCTGAGAGTCAGCTAACTGCCAGTCAAGAGTCTCCTGACTTTTTTTTTTTAAAGATGACAGGTAAGGGGATCTTAACCCTTGACTTGGTGTTGTCAGTACCACGCTTTCCCAAGTGAGCTAACTGGCCATCCCTATATAGGATCCGAACCCTTGGCCTTGGTGTTATCAGCACCACACTCTCCCGAGTAAGCCACGGGCCGGCCCTGAAATAAAATAGATTATGAGATACATGGCGATATGGTGTATAGAGAGAAGGCTAACTATTTCATATGGAGAGGTTAGGAAGACCTGACTGAGGAGGCGACATTTGAGCAGAGACCTGAGGGATTCAGCCAGCCTGATTCACCAGTTTTGTGTCCAATTTTCCAACTTAATTCCAGCATTCTTTTTTCCATTGTCTCTATATATCCATTACTCATATCCTCCTTTGAACCAGCTTTATTTTTCTACTGGTTCTCTCAATAATGAATTCAATAAAATCTTTGACATAGGCTCACCATGATTTTGTGCATCATATTTTTAACTTTTTATATAAAGTATTCCTATTTTTATTTTATTGTATTACCCAAAAGTATATACCAACAATAGCATCGACCAGTCACCAAAAAAAAGAAAAAAGGCATGAACAAGAATGTTCACAGCAGCACTATTGTAAATAGTCCCTAACTGGGAACTTCCTAAATGCCCATTGATAGGAGAACAGACAAGCACATTGTAGTGTATTCACCATCCCTATTTGTTATACACATTTTGAGAATCCCTGGATTTGTTGGCTTATTAGACCCAAATGGCAGAGTTATTTGCACTACATGCTGGACCAGCTAAAGAACCTCCTCTTGCCCTGGGCCCCACCAGCCTTACAGCTTTCTTTGCTGATGAGTGATAGCAAGTCTCCCAGCCATGATGTAAGGTGCCTCCAAAATTCCAGGAGGGCTGCCAAATATAGCTTTTTCTTAGTGTGTAAGGGGGTGTGTGTGCAATTTTCATCAAATTGACCTTTATTTTGGAAAAAAACAAAATTCCAACATGTTTCTTCCCTGGGACCTCCAAAACATCTCTGAGCTGTCAGGTATTTTTTTCAGATTGAACCTTTTCAGATTCCCGTAAGTCTGACCAATGCTTCCATGGTACCTGTTTCTTCCAGTTGTTGATACATTATCATTGTGATGAAGGCCTTTTTTTTTCCCTAGCTCCTGGGATGGCACAAGAACGGGCTCTTTGCACCATGGATGAGGAGGTCTTCACAGAGAAGATACTCTGCAGAATATGGAAGAAATACCAGCACCAGCACCTGGGGAAGAAAGGAGGAGACCATTGGCCAAAGAGAGGCATTTACATTGTGTCAGACCCTGCTGACTGCCAACCAATAGCTATTTCACCCCTTTCTCCTTGCTAATCCAACCCTGAATTTACTGGGGAGGTGAGAGGTAATAACGTCCAGGCTAGGAGTTGAATCACTGGTCTACCTGGTTCTCAAGGGGATGATGTCGCCCCCTTGAGGACAATTTGGAAATTATCGAAGGAAATTAATGAGTGGTTTTTGGTTATCAACTGGTTCTCTCAAGAGGACAGTATTGTTCCCTTGGGGGCATTTTGAAAATTTGCTTTTTTGGGGCCGGCCCCATGGCTCACTCGGGAGAGTGTGGTGCTGATAACACCAAGGCCACGGGTTCGGATCCCATATAGGGATGGCCGGTTCGCTCACTGGCTGAGCGTGGTGCTGACAACACCAAGTCAAGGGTTAAGATCCCCTTACCGGTCATCTTTAAAAAAGAAAATTTGCTTTTTTGGTTGTCATGATGATAAGAGGTTTCTTGCTGAAACTAGAGGACAGAGACCAGAGATGTTAAAATATCCTGCAATAGAACATTCCTAATGAACAAATTTAATGATAGCTCTTTTTTTTTTTTTTTTTCTTAAAAGATGACCGGTAAGGGGATCTTAACCCTTGACTTGGTGTTGTCAGCACCACGCTCAGCCAGTGAGCGAACCGGCCATCCCTATATGGGATCCGAACCCGTGGCCTTGGTGTTATCAGCACCGCACTCTCCCGAGTGAGCCACAGGCCGGCCCTAATCATAGCTCTTAAATACAATAATGGAAAGGACTGTTTATACTAACTTATACTAATCTGTAACACTAAACTTTTTCGGTTCTTTTGGAATTGTAGCAAAGTCATGATGTATACCACCACTTTACAAGATGTATACCACCACTTTTGGGATAATGAAAATGTTTTCCAACTAAGGCTGGCTGGTTAGTTCAGGTGGTTAGAATGCCACCTTGTAACACCAAGGTCAAAGGTTCAGATTCCTGTACAGGCCAGCTGCCCCTCAAAAAAAGAAAATGCTTTGGCACTAGATAAATGTGATGGTTGCATAACGTGTTGAGTGTACTAATGAACATACTAAATGCCACTGAATTGTTCTCTTTAAAATGCCTGATTTTAGGGGCTGGCCCGTGGCTCACTCGGGAGAGTGTGGTGCTGACAACACCAAGGCCATGGGTTCGGATCCTATATAGGGATGGCCGTTTCGCTCACTGGCTGAACGTGGTGCTGACAACACCAAGTCAAGGGTTAAGATCCCCTTACTGGTCATATATGTAAAAAAAAAAAAAAAAAAAAGCCTGATTTTAGGGGTTGGCTGATTAGCTCACTTGGTTAGAGCTTGGTGCTGATAACAGCAAGGTCCAGTGTTCAATCCCTGTACCGACCAGTCGCCAAAAAATAAAATAAAATGCCTGGTTTTATGTCATGTAAATTTTACCTCAATAAAAAATGTTTATGGGCCGGCCCTGTGGCTCACTCGGGAGAGTGCGGTGCTGATAACACCAAGGCCAAGGGTTCGGATCCTGAAAAAAAAAATGTTTAGGGCCGACCCTGTGGCGCACTCAGGAGAGTGCGGCACTGGGAGCGCAGCGACGCTCTCGTCGCAGGTTCAGATCCTATATAGGAATGGCCGGTGCGCTCACTGGCTGAGCGCGGTGTGGGCAACACCACACCAAGGGTTGCGATCCCCTTACCGGTCACGAAAAAGACAAAAAAAAAAAATGTTTAGGACTAGTTGGTTAGAGTGTGGTGCTGATAACACCAAGGTCCAGGATTTGATCACTGTCCTGGCCAGCCTCCAGAAAAATAAATAAATAAATAAACAACCCAGTTTAAAAAAAGATATATACCCCAAATTTGAAAATATACCATTATATTTAATTTTTCCCACAAGGTATAAAAAAGTATAAGTGAGGGGGGTGGGGAGAAGAAAGGGAGGCTTTTTTAGACCTTTAATGAGTCTAGGAGTACAGGGAAAATAATTTACAGAGCAATTACCTTCATTTCCATGGCTCTTTTTCACAAAGTGATCATTTTACAAGAATTTCTGTATATACACAGATAACAGCTCAGGTCACTCCCTAACCATGTACAAATTACTACATGCCATGGATCTTCAGGATAACCTTCAAAGTTGATATATTAACTAATACATCATTTAATGCTAAATTAAATGAACCTGTTTTAACTGTTCAAAATAACTTGACTATTTTTCTATGATCCATGTACATTTCATTTTAGTAATATAAGGCAACTAAGCAGAAATATTTATTTTCAGAGGCTTATCCAAAAGGTATTTGGTATAGCCTTCTCCTTTCTGGTCATTCTGTGACTTCTAAAAGTTCTGCACAAAGAGGTTATTTGATCTTGTAATTGGCATTTTTTCCCTTGGATTGGGAAGCAGCACATCAAAGTCCTTGGTGTTATAAGGCTGCACTCTAACCAACTGTGTAACCAGCCAGCCCCTGAGTTCCCTCTGATTTTCCTATCATTATTTGATATTTTGAATCTTGGTTATGGGGCAAGATGACATTATTTACATAAATGTAAAGCTGCTTTCCAGTCAGCCTGGAGTTGCAGACTTGCTGCAAGGCAAGTACTATTCAGACCCTGAGAAATCACTAAAGCTATGCGATTCCACCCTGAAGCCAATCACAATCTAGCAAGACTATGGGCCGACCCCGTGGCTCACTCGGGAGAGTGCGGCGCTGGGAGTGCAGTGGCACTGGGAGTGCCGAGGCCACGGGTTCGGATCCTATATAGGGATGGCCGGTGTGCTCACTGGCTAAGCACAGTGCGGGCGACACCACACCAAGGGTTGCGATCCCCTTACTGGTCACGAAAAAAAAAATAATAATAAACAATCTAGCAAGACTCAAAGATCACATCAAGGACGAAAACAGAAGCCAGAACAAGCCTTGAGGAGAATTTGCACCTGGCCCCTTACACATCCCCCTCCCTCCTGCTTTTCCCACATTCCACTCCTCAACCTCCTCTTTAAAAACCCTGCAGTAAGGCTGTCCTGTTAGCTTAGTTGGTTAGAGCTTGGTGCTGATAATACCAAGGTCCAAGGTTCAGCTCTCCTTAAAAAATAAATAAAAGAGGCCGGCCCGTGGCTCACTTGGTAGAGTGCGGTGCTGATAACACCAAGGCCACGGGTTCGGATCCTATCTAGGG